GTATATTATATTGTTATTATTATTAATAACGAGTGGTTACTACTGTAATTAATATTGTTATTACTGTTTTAATATCTGTTATTACGTTATTAATATTGTTTATTATGTCATATTAGATCAATTGGTGATAGCTAATTAAGGCAGTAGAGTTGATATAGCATCATATTGAAGGACTATCTTGTCCTCCTCCAAAAAACTCTGGCCGCCGCCATAAATCCTAAACATACATAATGATATACATACTTAAATATGAATTGGGCGGCTGGGCAATCGCGAATGTATTTGAAGCCAGCGAAAGTGGAAGTCTCGCGAATGTGGAAGGGAGACCTGTACTTGTTAACTGATGACCTGAACTTACAATTGGGCCCCTCTGACCAGTATGCAAACCTAAATAACGTGCATATTAAGAGCTGATATCCTCATATTCTGTTTATAAAAAATATACACTACACTACTTGTAACATTAAACTTATACTAAAATAGTTATTAATAGTGCAAGGGACATTGCCCCTTTCATGTCCAATGCTATACATGTACGATTGAGAGCCTGGGGGGTCGGTGCCAACTTGTACACGTAAATTCTAGGCCTTCAAATTAGAACAGAATAACGTTGGTAGGAGCCTACATACGAAATATGGGTCTGCATGATAAGTGTACGCAACCTAACAAATCTTGCAGCACACAGAGCACAATGAGAAAAAAACTCCGACCTTATTTTTTGGTTTAAAACAGCACCTTGCAGTGTCTTTTTGCATTGGTACATATTCATTGGTTGCATTCTCGTTTTCTTGTCTCATTGATAGAATGGACAGATATTTACAGAACTAGAGAACGATTTAGATTGGTTTTAAGATAAAAAGTACTTGAAATTGAGCTCAAAGTATCGAAAATTTGATTGTTGCCAATGTTCAAGAGTACACAAATCACGCCAGAAGGGGGGGGGGGGGGGGGGGGGGGGGGGGGGGCGATAAAAAAAAGGGGAAACACTCCAATACACGTTGACTGGTAATCTAATATTCTTTTACAAGTGCACTGAATTATTATACCATTTTTACATAAATTAGGTAGCCTACATAGCAGTAAATCTCCATGTTTTGTGAAATAAAAATTCAAAATGGAAATACAAGAGTAGTATAAAAGTGGCTGGAGACGTGACAAATAAACAGAGAAACTTTATTTTAGTGCCAGGAATGTCCTGTCTGTTTATTCTGGACCCTATTATGAAATTAGCATCTTTAGATGCCAATTTTTGACGCACTTTATTACGGTGGTTTTAAATCGGTAAATGGGCGGCAGTTTCTTGTAACTCATTCAATAGAACAAATGGAGTAATCTATGCGAAAGAGCTATGATTATTAACAACTGGAACATTGGAAATGGCCAACAAAAGGACTCAAAGTGGGCAAAATCGCCGATGCCTAAATATCGTCGTAGGTCGCTAACTTGTGAGCATAATTCCATAAGTTTTCCATCAAATTTCGTACTTTTGGTGTCATCACCATTGGGAAAAGATTCTCAATCACTTCAGTGAAAAAAATTTTTTTTTTTTCTTTCAAATTTTTCAAACCCTGAGAGTGAATCAGGATGGGGGTCTCAACCCTGAAAGGTTAAAACAATATCAAAGCGGGTGACACAAACCCATTACCATTATAGTATGCTCCTCACTTATAGACGAATTCATTTACCGATGTGGTCTTAGTGGAACTCTGCCGTTAAGTGAGGAGAGCTGTATTCTCAAATTTTATTGTATCTGAACAAATAATACCCAATAAATTGATATATATTTCCTTTAAGATACCCAATGATTTCTAGTACTGATTAATATAGAAGGATTAACTCTCCATAATCCAAAATACATTCTACATGGGTGATGAAATGTAACTGAGCAAGCAATCTTTGGAAAAACAAAATTCCAATTATGTCAGGTGCTCCTTATCACCTAGGTCCCTAGGGAATGAGATGCCCATAACCCTTTGTGAATTCCTTCTCACATAACCTTCAGGAACATGACAGTTAAAAACTTAGCAACAAGAATTAAATGAAGAGAATGTCATATACAGATTGTATTGCCAATTTATTGTTACCTTAGCTAATATGAAGAAAATGTAATACAGGGTCGGCCATCACTAATCCAGCAATCAGTTATCCGGTTCAATCAGCAATCCGGGCACTAATTTCAGCTACATAATTTCAAATTCACTCATTTTACTGACTCAAAATTTCATCATCATACTTGACTCAGAACATGTGCAGATGGTTGTAAATCCACAGCAGCAAGCCAGTGGAGGAGAAAGCACTGAAGAAATGAGGATGAAGTAGCAGAAAGTCTCTACTCTATGATTGGTTAAGTTCAGTGTGTTCTAAACATAACCACTCTGAAACCAGCAAACACACTAATCCGCACACTCGACAGGTCCAAGCTGCCGGATTATTGATCGGGCCGACCTGTACAGTATATTGACTTACCTAATATATTTTTTATGATGTAACTAGACCAGAGGATCCACATACCACATTACAACCTCCGTAATCGATTTTTTGCACTATTGCTCATAGAGATGAGCATTCCTCGAAATGAAATTTTGCATACCAATGGCTATTTTTTTGTGCCTATTATGATTATTACAAGTTCCTTACATTATACAGCAATATAAATAAATAAAAAATTCAATTTGAATAAATCCTGAAAAAGATTGGAGGAAAATCCTCAATGATCTCAGGATTGGATTTGTAAGGGCCACCAACAGCTTAATGCCACACTGACCTGCTTCCCAAAGTATAACAAAGAAGAGATAATTACTCAAAGCTGATCAATGAAAATAAAAGGAAACAGAATCCCTTTGCAAACAGAAACAGAGACTTGAAGTTCCCAAGTTAGGCTAGGTAGACAATCCCCTTCCCACTTTGCAACCCCAGCAGAGCAGGATGCCCACACCCTCATCTAAGTTCATTAACCAGTTCCCTCAAAAATTAAGAATATGGCAGAGAGAAAAATGGAGCTGATGAATGGTGAGCGCCTCCTGTAGAGTACCCAAGTGGATAATGATAAACATTCAATTTCCACAAATATGGCTCACAGTTAATTCAGAAAAAAGGAGACATTACCCAATCATGCTTTATAGAAAGCCCCTGGTTATGCAGAGTATTTTGGGCAGATTTAAAATACAATATAACTGTTTATAACGTGTAACAATAACTGGAATTATTGCAAGCAATTTGCTGGAAGTTTTAGATCAAAACAATTTATTTTAATGTTTACGGTTATTAACACAATCTGTTCAAATACAGATCCAACTTTACTGATCTAAATTTCAGTATTACTGCAAGGGCTGTGGAGTTGTTACATAAAACTTTCAACTCTGACTCCTTTAATTATGCCACTAACTACTCCAGCACTGACTCCTTTATTTGTGGCACCTCCAACTCTGACTCCTTTTTCTCATTCATAACATCCACAAAAATCTACATATATAGTCTTATTTATGCTTCTTGATATGATGCCAAGAATCCTATTAGCTTTATAGCAAACACTTATGCACAAAAGTCTTGGCTTTAAATTTCTGCTAATCATAGCTCTGAAATCTTTTTTATTATTTAGTTTATAAGTACAGTACCAGTCATTTTCTTTCCCAAGGATTTGAACCTTATTGTTAATGTATGTTAGCATACAGTGATACCTCTCATATCCGAACTATATGGGCCAAGACCGGTTCAAAAACACGGAGTTTCCAGATATGTGAAGGGGAAAAACATGTGCATCCATACCATCACATTGCCATCCATACCCTGTCATATCGCAATCAGCAACGGCGTTGTAGGTTTAAAAAATTAATCCAATGTCAATTGGCAGTGAGACCAGACACTATGGGCTCGAATAACAGCCTCCTGGATTTCACGGACCACAGGACCATAACTTTTCAAATGGGCTGTGGACAGTGGATGTTTCAAATACTCCAAAAGTATATCGACACCTGCCCTTGCTGCTGAAATTTTTGGTCTTGGAGGCAATGGGTCGTCATCGTCACTTTCAGAATGTTCCAGGTGCAACACTGATTCTGAAATCTCTGCACCCATCAGAGACTGCACACCAGGGTCATCTTCATCACACTTAAGCCAGTCCTGCATATTGGTGCTATGAACCATCTTACCACTACCATGTTGTTGTAGGTACCACTTCATCACACACTTATTGAGTTCCAAGCTCTGTGGCTTTGCCATCACTTTTCTTTTGGCACTTTTTGGCCACTAGGAGCCATGCTCCTAGTGGCCAACCGGTACACTAAAGTGCATGCCAATTTTGATTCAGCCTTCTGCCGTATCTGAACGGCTGTTCAGATGTTTCGGTAATAATTTTAGAATTTCGTCCTTTCTCAGGGCCTGTTCCGATATTGGTGAAGTTCAGATAATGGCAGGCCGGATATGCGAGGTATCACTATATGTACAGATGGTGTTGGCATGTCGTCAGCACCATCGTAATGGAACCAAGAAAACCTGTTTCTCACAAAACACTCACCATTTCCCTTCATATGATATCCTCTTTTATGTAATCCAATGATCTGTGCAATTGTCTCTCATGCCAGTGACTTATTCTTGCCCATATTAATTTGTCTATAATGAAAAATGTCGTACAAACTTGGCACTCAAGACCAAGCAGCACAGGGAGACCACAAACACATATCCTTACCACCACACAAGCCTAGAAAACACTGAGTATGCACTGAGCCTTAGGGATTCCTGTGACATCTCGCAACGTGTTGCCTGGTGGCTAAAAGGATGGGGCATTATTTTGACATTAAAGTATACTGGGCACCATCACCTCGCACACTTTAATGATGAGTACCCTGTATCATCCTGATCAGTATCATTTTTGACCTCATGGATTTCGTTTATTCATTTTAAAATACACAGGACAGTATTTCTGAAATCCCTGGATCCCAAGAGTAGTTTTGTCTTACATATAAAAAATTCAAAATTTGGCAAAGATGATTAGTATTACATACCTGAAGTAAATTGATCTCCTTCATACAGTCTAATCTGGCTTTTGAATCCATCATCTCGAAGATTTGGACCTTTTTCAAAGCCACTACTGCATGGTCGACCTTGCATCTTGCTCTATATACAACACTAAACTGGCCTTTACCAATTTTCTTTTCTATATCAAAACTGGAGAGTGTTCCATATATGGAGTCACTCGATGAGAGTTTGATCAGCTCTGATGCCGCATCCATTTTAAGTGGCTAAAGAGGCATATCAGCATTTCTGGAAGAACAATTTTTAATTAATTACAGCATACACATTAGAGGCAGATTATGCTGCTTATAATTGATGCTAAATACAGTAAACTCTCGAGATAACAGATTAATGGAGAATTGTCTGAGTGTTCTTTAAATCAAGAAAATGTTGACAAAATAGGAAAAAACACCTAATATAGAACTGTATCCTCAAATTACAGTTATATTACAATAAACATTAAAAATAAAAGAGTTTAAAGTACAATTTACACAGTGGATTTTGCTCATTAGTTTAAAAGCCCAGTACTTTGAGGATAGTTTACTGTAATACAAAGTTAATTTAGGCTGACAGATTGGTTAGGTAGGATTAATCTATATGATATATAAATTCAAGCAAAATTAGATCAGACTTGGTTATTTAGGATACCAGACAATGTGTTCTGTCTAATATTAAAAAAATAAAAGTTTCATGCAAAAAAATGAATTTGTACATGTGAATTCATGTATTTAAATCCAAAAAAAGAAAATGCTGAAACAAATAATTTTAACCCTTAAACTGCCACACGTTGATTAATGGGTGTGCATATACTGTTGTACATATAGCCCAACCTTTGAATTCTAGCTCCCTCAAAATGGCTGTGATCGAAAGTGTTAGGCCTACACAGGATAACACAGGCCTGCGTTGTTGGTGCACACACCAACCAAAAATTCCTTCGCTACACTGGACATTGTGGAAACAGGTTGCTTCAAAGTACCATACCAACATATCTCATCTTTGACATCACCTCACTCCATGGACTATTGGCCATTTTCTATTTGCTCAGGCTAATTCAAGTAGTGAAGATAGTAATGAGGACTTGGAGTTACATGAATAAGACGACAGAGAGTGCTGCTGCCACTACATATGCCCCATCAAGCAAGGGAAAACCCAGATGAGCTTTGAAGCACTACATAACACAACTTCCTTCCACTGGGAAGAAATATGCCCAGAAGATATATGTATGTATGTATGTATGTCCTATCACCACCAGAAAAACAAGGAAATGCAAGGACACACAATTCATGTGTAAAACTTGCCAAATTCCATTGTGCATGGAACCCAGCTTTGAGGAATATCATGGATTCAAGAAATTGTGGGTCACATCCTGGGAGAGAAAAGTGAAGGACCCCAGTAGAAATAAGACCAACAATCCTTGATGATGTATGACCCTTACTGGGTTAAACTAGGTGATTAACCCTACAAGTTAAAATTCTGAACCAAATCTTGTTGCATATTATTTTACAATGAGGCTCTCAAAGCACCCAATTACATAATGGCTGTGTTATGTGTGTCAATAATGCAGTACAACCTCTCCTCATTTAGCAACGTACAGGTCTCCCTCTACATTCACAAGGGTTAGGGGATCAAGAACCTCGCGAATGTTGAAAAATTGAAATGTTTGGTGCACAAATATATTGTAGGGAAATATAATAAAAGCAATTACTTAGCCTAACAATACTGCTTCCTTAACCTATTGAACCATGAACAATTATAAAACACATGAAAACATTGTAAAATATTGTACTGGTGCCAGCCCTTTGGTAAAGAAGGCAAGAAAGACTATAGAATTCAAGAAAGAACTCATAGCAGAGTACCAAAGTGGAGGAGGAAGAGAGAGGGGAGAATGTGCCTTCTTCAGTGATTCTACGATATGTATGATACTAAAGTAGCACTAGCCGATAAAGGCTATAGCGCCAGCCAGCGATAAAGTGTAGCATTAACAGTGTAGCAAGTAAGTTAAGCGATTAATCGATAGAAAAAGGACAGCACGAACCTAACTCCTCCAGTGTTGCTGGAGGTATGTAGGGCTACTGAGAACACTGCTGCCGCTGCTGGCCTTCACCACCATTGTGTATGGCTTATGCTCTCAGTGGGCTCTTATACACACAACAACACAACACCACTCGTTATTAATATTGTTATTAATATTAATAACGAGTGGTTACTTACTGTTATTAATATTGTTATTACTGTTATTAATATTGTTATTACTGTTATTAATATTGTTTATTATGTCATATTAGATCAATTGTGATAGATAAATAAGCAGTAGAGTTGATATTAGCATCATATTGAAGGACTATCTTGTCCTGCCTCCAAACAAACTCTGCCGCCGCCATAATTCCTAACATACATAATGATATACTACTTAAATATGATTGGGCGGCTGGGCATTCGCGAATGTTTGAAGCCTGCGAAAGTGGAGCTCGCGAATGTGGAGGGAGACCTGTACTTGTTTACTGATGACCTGAACTTACAATGGGCCCTCTGACCAGTATGCATA